CCATAGACTCACCCATAGACTCACCCATAGACTCACCCATAGACTCACCCATAGACTCACCCATAGACTCACCCATAGACTCATCCATAGACTTATCCATAGACTCATCCATAGACTCACCCATAGACTCATCCATAGACCCATCCATAGACTCATCCATACCATGATATTCTTTTCCAGTTGTCCCCTGTCCTATGCCTGTGTTCTTCTGCTCATTATAACCAATAATGGCCAGACCGACTAATGACCCCAGCTCTCTATGTGAGTTGATCCGCTGATATCTCTGGATGTAGTGATCACTGACTGACATCATCGGCTGTATGTATCATCACATGTCATTTATAACACTTCTCTCTTCTCTTCTACAGCTCTGATCGGACAGATAGGTAAGGTCACATTCTTCATACACACATGTGGAATTATGACATATGACAGCCATGTTTGTTGTACAATGTTGGGGTATGTAGTACACGTCATACAAATCCCCCCGCACTCCGCTTCTCTTCACCGCACATACACTTTATTCTTTCATCATGCTTACACTGTCCTCCCCGCCTTGTACCGTCACCTCTAGGGTTCGGGATAGGCCCATCCATACCATTGGAAGATAAATGTCCTCCCTGATCGCCCATGAACCCTCAAACCCCGAAACCACTACATGTCATTGTGGACACCAGGGATCAGGTCTCCATAATAAATGATTTCTGGAGAAGCTCCTCATTGGTTGGCACATTCTCCCCATTGGTGGTAACTGATTCCTCTCAACCTGTAACTTGATGGGAGAGTCATAAATCAGTCTATGGGGCTGAGGGGAGCAAGCTGAAGAGGAAGTCTTGTATCTCTATGGAACCCGGATTGGTGACTCCCATTGTGGGGAGCAGAGGCCTCCATGTTGGATGGTGAACATTTTTCCTCAATAAGAGGCCCAGAGGACATCAGGGAGATATTTACTTTCCATTGTCATACGCGGACATTTCCTTTATCTGGTCAAAGCCGATCATTTGCTGTATAGTAGATGAATTTGGCCAAGGTGAGTATTCTTTCCTTACAGCAGGTCGGCAGGAAGGATATTACTGAGTGTTCTACATGGACTGACCCTTTAATCTTTGTACATGGACTTTATCCTCAGTTCTCTCTCCTCATTGGCCAGGTACATGTTCCCATTCTTCCAGTTTACTATTCATATCTTGCAGGATCTGCAGGGAGACCGGTGGTGACCTTCCACCCAAACTGGAATAAGATCCTCCGAGGAGACTCTATAACAATGAGCTGTGATGTGGAGCCCGATACGTCGTACTATCACTGGTACCGGAATAACAAGGTGATATCTACATGGAGGAACTATATCATTAAATCTGCCTGGAAAGGAGACAGCGGGGACTATAAGTGCCGGGCCAACACTGACAGTACGGAGAGTGAGGTTGTCACGCTGAGTGTTAGTGATGGTAAGAGAATCCAATACGATGTCACTATTACTAACATATTGCAGGCATTAACTTACCCAATTCACATTTTCTGCATGGAGTTTGTATGCTTCAATGTGTGCCACTAAGTTTTTAAACTGACAATAATCATAACTTTCATCTTGGATAGAGTGGAGAGGGATTAGACCCCCCATCAGGTTCTTATTGCTGTCTGTGTTCCTTCATACCGTTGCTCGCTCACTTCTCGATCCTGTCCCTGCAGAGAGTGGTGACTGTCACTCACGGCTCCCTGCAGGGATCCTCCAACACTGACTGGCAGAACGGACGGGGGAGGGGACGGGTAGGCAGAGCCAGCTGTCAATCACGCAGCTGGGTGGATCTCGACAGTGATGTTGGGATCCGTCCCGGCGGCGGCGCTCTCGGAATACCGCGAGCTGTAGCTCCCTATATACTGAGCTTAGGGTGACGGGAGGACGCTAGTTTATATGAGAACTATGGGGGAAAAGAACTGACCCCATAGTTCTCCTTTAAGTTGTCATGAGAACAGAAACATTTTGGAAATCTTCCAATGAGGAGCCTGGTTCTAGAAATGAGTGTAATGAATGTGGATATGGACATATAGATACACCCGGAATGTATTATATTTATTTCATATTTAGGTGACTCGAGATTCCTCCATATAAACAAATGAAGGAAATCCAAAATGACAATTTTCTACCTTAAGGTTCCAAAGACTAAGAATACGGATAAACCCGGAATTTAGGTGTAGATCTGACTTGTGTGGGTTGTCTGGTCAGATGGCTGGGGGCGTCCTCCTGGAAATAGAACGGACATTGTATTTTACTTTCAGATTTGGAGGGTTATTCACCATGGGGCCGAAGGATCCAGTTGTAGCTTCGGATGATCCTTCGGCTCTCCTTCGGCCGCCGGAGCCCTTTGGTTCATTCACAATAGTCACAGTAGCCCGTACAGCAGCCGAAGGCGGCCAAGGTACTCAGCCGAGCTGAACCCATATGCTTTGGCTCAACTGAGTCGTAGTGACGGCCAAAGCGTGGAGAAAGGTCGGCCAAAGGGCCGTTAGGTTGAACTCGATGGAATTGTGTCTTTTTTCAACCTAACTATGTAACTATCTCACGGCTGGCTCCGCCCCAAGGGGCCTAGCATGACTTTTGGGGGAAACCCCACGCTTTTATTTCTTTTTTTAAAATGGGGTCCCTCCTAACATTCCTACCAGACCTAAAGGGTGTGGTATGGTTTGGGAAAGGGACCCCACACTTTTTTGTTTTGTTTTCCATTTCTTTAAAAACATTTTTATTATTTTCTTAACTTTATTAAATTTTTCAATTTGTTTTACATTTATTTCTATTCTGCTAAATACCTCGGAGGTGCCGAGCAGAATAGCCGAGCCGAATGACGCTCTGCAGCATTCGGCTATTCACTCTCTGCCGCTCGGCCCCTATGAGAATATATGAGAATAGGGGTGAAGGGCAGCGGGTGAGCTGCCGGAGCTTCGGCTCGGCCCATCCAGATGTTGGATCGGCTGAGTAGAAGTCCCTCTGCACTACGGCTCAGCTGAACATACAGAGCATGTTCCCCTGACCGAAGGCAGACGATGTATAGCTGAAATCAGCCGTACTGAGCAGGAGTGACTAGCCGAATGCCGTTCGGCTCTGTTCACTTCGGCTCGGTTATTCACTCGGCAGCTAAGTGAATACCCTCCTTGGTATTTTGGAAATCACACACATGAGGTCATTAGTGTCTTGGAAGGTCCATCCAATTCAATGGGAGTTGTTGTTTCTCCCCATAGATGACGATATGGTGACACCAATCTTGGGTCAGATATAACAGATCTCATGTTGTGTTTCAGGTCCGGTCGTCCTTCAGGCTCCTCTCTATGTACATGAAGGTGACAACATATGTCTCCGGTGTCACAGTCCATTGGGATATCCTACTAGACAATCATTATTCTACAGGAACAATCAGAAAATCCAGACATCAGACGCCGACTATAATCTACTGTCCATACATTATACAGACCTGACCGCCACCTACAGATGCTCCAAACAGCTTCTGACCTCTTCTATTTACACTGCTGACACCATTGTTTCCTACACCGGTAAATCCCGCTGAGCGAATCTAGATTTGTAGTTTGCAAGATGCTAATCAGTAAAAGGTTCTCATTAGAAACCAAGCTTGAGGAGAAGAGATAAGAGAACCTCTTGCTTTGGCTTCAAATGCTCCCAAGCAGGGGAGGGGGAGGAGATAACAAATAAGAGAACCTGTACCCTGAAATTCATTTTGTACAATGTGGGTTACAAATAAACTGGTAAGTCTGTAAAAAAAACTAAGTCAAGGCAGCTTGACTTGCTGTATTTTTCTTGAAGACGTTTCACTGATCATCCGACCAGCTTTCTCCATTCAGATTGACTTGTACACAAAATTATCTGGCAATAAATATGGTGAATGTCGCTCCAATCCACATAACCTGTAAGTCACAACCAGTTGTTGATCACATTTGCAGAATTGGAGTCTAGGAGGTGTTAATAACCTGCCCAGAGAGAGGTGTTATACAGCATTGTATGTGGCAGACAATAGATGCCCCCCCCTCCCGCCACCTCTATTCAAGCTTGACTTCTCCATTGTTACATAAATGACCTCTTTTGCACCAGTCCTCCTCCATGCCTAGTATGTGTACTTGATTGTCTTCAGAGGAGTGACCTTTTTCCTTTAGATGTAGGTATACTGCTGAATCCTGACCAGAGGGTTTGGCTCTTCTATGCTGTGCCATACGCTGGTGTAGCTGCTGTTTTGTTTCCCCGACACACAATTCTGAGCGCTCCTCACTGCTCTGGACTACATACACAATGTTGTTCATCTTGTGTTTTGGCGTCGGGTCTTTTGGGTGAACCAGTTGTTGCCTCAGTGTATTGCTGGGTGTAAAGCAGATGGGGATGTGATGTTTATTCCTTGGACACCCCGGCTACATATGGGGTGACCAAATTCTTCAGTTTTTCATGCCTACAAAAGCCCATTCTGGATACCCGCAAGTTTTAACTGCCCCCCTGAGGTGTTTGCATTTCTTTGTCTTGGCCTCTGTTCTGGTGGGAATTGTCTCTGCCTGGTGGTGTGGAGTCCTGATGACTCCCAGTTTGTGGTCTAGAGGGCGGTGGGAGTCACATATAATGGTACTGGTCCATGTGTGTTGGTTTTTCGGTGGACCTCTATTTCCAGCCTCCTTCCCTCTTCTACTAAACAATCCAAGAAAGCCAGTTTATTGTTTTGCATCTTTCCGTGTAAACTTGATGTTATGATCCACTGAGCTGATATGGTCAGTGAAAGGCTGCAACTCTTACCCAAGTGTCATCCACATATCTGACCCAATGACTGGGCGCCATTCCCTTGAAGGTGGTCAGGGCCTTGCTTTCTACTTCCTATATTCTACTCTCTCTATATATGTATATGCATAGGCGTGTGCAGTCTTTTGTATTAGGGTGTGCACACAAAAGTACAAACACACGAGCACACGCACATATACTATTTTTTTTAACACACGTGCTCACACACATATTCTATATATATATATATATATATATATATATAGTGTAATGTAAATGGCTAAGCCGTATTGGTCCAGTAGACAAGATGTAAAAAAAACGTAGAAATGCAATGTGCAATGATACCTTTCTTATTGGACTAATATAAAAGACAAATGATATATTATGTTAGTACAATAGGAAAGGTATCATTGCACACTGCAATACTACGTGTATATATATATATTACATACATTACATACATACATACACCGACAAGAGGCATCCCGGACTCCCTTCTCTTTAGCTGTCCTCCTTACCTCTTCCAGCAGGAGTGCAGTAATGATTGAAGCAAGGAGTCTGGCAGCTGTTCATCATGTGACCATTTGTTGTTCTTGTTTCTTATTTCTGTATAATGTCATGAAGGAAGTTCCGTCGCTATTCCAGTGACCATCACACCGGACTGGAAGAAGTTACTTACAGGAGACAGTATAACAATGACCTGCAATGGTGGGAGTGATGTGACGTATCGGTGGTTACAGAATGGTGCGGTGGTGGCGGTAGGACCGACATATACAATCTCATCTTCCCGGGTTGGACACAGTGGGACCTACCAGTGTCAGACGAGCCGTGGTCATAGTTTGGAATTCCAGCTGGAAGTCAGCCGTGGTGAGCCGATCATTTCCTCAGAACACTTTATTTCAGTCACAGAAATGTATTCCACATTCATTGTATATCCATAGAAACTATGACAGACATTATTATACATACAGGACATATTATTATACACGGACTACATTGGATTACAGAATATCATCATCATTTGTCCATTACCTACAGTATATAATGTATAACTGGGGGTGTCTCAAGGGTGTGTACATTGCCTATATATAACTAGGGGGTGTCTCATGGGTGTGTCCATTACCTATATATAACTGGGGGTGTCTCATGGGTGTGTCCATTACCTATATATAACTGGGGGTGTCTCATGGGTGTGCCCATTACCTATATATAACTGGGGGTGTCTCATGGGTGTGTCCATTGCCTGGATACATTGTGCTGGAGCGTGTCCCTCTTTCTGCTGTGTTGGCTGTGTAATGTGAAGTGTAAATGGCGGGAAGGAGTCACTGTGATATGTATCCTGATTACTCCGTCACACTGTTTCTGCTGATACTTTAATAACCATTTTGTATTGTAGGTCCGGTCATCCTGCAGGCTCCGGTCTTTGTGTATCGGGGAACAGACATAAATCTGAGGTGTCATAGCCGTCCTGAGTATCCTGTACATTGGACAACAATCTACAAGTATAATAATGGCATATTGGGTCCAGTGACTGATCGCGATGCGGTTGTACTTTATGGAAACACTGATGTGTCTGGAAGATACGGATGTGAGAGAAGATTATCCCGGGATGTAACATACACAGATGAAGTGTCTCTACATGTCAGAGGTAACTCCTCATCACTGAGTGGGCTCGTCTGTAACTAATGAAGTATAACTATGGCTATGGTCCTCTGTGTCCAGTGTGAGCTGGAACTCCTTCTCCACAAATTGTTGTATGTGACCATTGGCCACCAGAACCATGGAGGACCAAGGGTGAGACTACACCTCAGCCAATCATTCCATAGGATGTAGTCATGGCCCTCAGGAGGATCATGATAGCTTGTAAGCTGTTGTGTGATTGGCTGATGATTTACAGTAGAAGTAAACCTGTGGTGGGTGGTGACCAACATTGGCCATAATGTGCACTGAGCTCTGGGTGTGCTCTCCTCCAGAGATGTGACATCAGAGCTCCCCACACCCACTCTGTCCCCACCAGTGCAGTATTATGTTCCTCTCCTTCCAGGTCTGCTGTCCTCTTGATGGCCCATTGGGCAGACACGGATGGTGGAACTCCTGAGTGTGCGTGCTGGAGGTACAATATCTCGGCGCCCGGCTTCATTCACACATCTGTAACATTCCAGAACTGTACACTGTACCACAAATGAGCTGCAGTCAGTGTACAGATTGTAAGACATTTGCTGGCAGGTAAGTAGAAGAGTTTTTGGCAGAAAGAAACTCCTCAAATGTTCTTCCGATGCAAAGTGAACCGATCTCGTGACAATCACGTTCGCTAGAAGTGTATTTGGATGTTTGTCTTGTCGGTTTATTTGTTCTCCATTATATTGTTATTAAGTATAACAATTGTCTTCTTCTAGACCTGTTCACAAAGCCAAATATTACCGCAATGCTGCGTCCAATGACCGAAGGTGACACCGTGACCCTGACATGTGACACGAGACTCAGCCCGCTCAGACCGGGGACACAACTCCAATTTGCTTTCTACACAGATGGACGGAAGGTTCAGGAATTCGGTTCCTCCAATCACTATGGAGTCCAGTCCGCTCAGCTGGAGGATTCTGGGAATTATTCCTGTGACGTGAGAACTCCAACCAACAGTGTGATGAAAGGGAGTGAAGGATTAGATATGCAGATCCAAGGTGAGCGTGTGGCCTGGTTGGGATGATGAGAGGAAGTGTAAACATAAGACTCATATAAAACATGATGCTACACGGCTGAACCATAAGAGGAACCTGAGTGAAGATTCATTGTATTTATCAGACAAACAAATGAATGATATACAGCTAATGTTCAACAGCAGAGGAGAAGTGCGGTGACCTGTAACAATGAACTAAATGTCCCTTTCTGAAAATAGACCGGAGATGACTTCTGATTGGTTGCTGTGCGGTCTTGTACTTTGCATGTAATCTTTGCTCTTTCCACTTTTTAATTGCACCCGGTTATCGTCCAGTGGCCTGCGGTCATTGTGTTTTTGCTTTCTTCCTCTAAAGGAACAAGTTCTGAGGCTACTTCATGGACCACATACACCATTCTGATCATTGTCTTCACCCTCCTCTTCCTCATCACCATCGTAGTGATTGTCGTTGTCATCAAGCATAGGCGCAAACCATCACCGACGTCTACCAGCAGAAGGCCAACAATGGACCCTCCAGAAGCAGGTAGGGTACCTGATGTGGTAGTTTGGGGAGACCACTTCCTGAAGATGTCTTTAACATAAAACAGGACGGTCATTATTCTCAAAAAGGCCAACAGTTCATGCACTCCACATAATCTGCTTTACTTCTGAAAACATCTCAGTTCACTTGGCTTTCATCAAAACTGATGTGTTTATGTCTCACTGATATCAGGTTTTCCCATACACTCCCGGTGTAATAATCTGAGGACTTTGCCGTATTTCTCCACATACAGTCCTCAGCATGGCTCAGTAGCTTCCCTTAGTTCCAAGCATTTCACCACACACCTGTGTGGTCCTTGTAAATGCTCATCCCTGGTAGGGTCACTGACTCTCTTTCAGTCTCTCCGACAGGTCCCTCGGGTGTCACTGACCCTCTCGACCTCACAGCTCTATGCACACAGCATAGTCTTCCTGTTGCCATGTGCCTACTGCACACCCACACCTCCCTAAGCTCTGATCCAGAGTCCTAATAAGGCTGCTCTCAGCCACCTAATCATCCTAGTGTAGCGATAACTCCCCGCAAGGAGCCGCTGTTTGCCCGGTCCACATCTAGTCGGTCTAGGGGTTGATTTCCAGCTGCGCCCATTAGCACTGACCACCCATAAATTGACGTCCACTTTAGTAGTAGAATGCTAGTTGAACAGTCTATTGAACGTCTTCTGTGGGAGAGAGGGTATAAGGGTTCTAGGTGTCCAGCGGGTATAGGGGTTCTAGGTGTCCAGCGGGTATAGGGGTTCTAGGTGTCCAGCGGGTATAGGGGTTCTAGGTGTCCAGCGGGTATAGGGGTTCTAGGTGTCCAGAGGGTATAGGGGTTCTAGGTGTCCAGAGGGTATAGGGGCTCTAGGTGTCCAGAGGGTATATGGGTTCTAGGTGTCTAGAGGGTATAGGGGTTCTAGGTGTTCAGAGGGTATAGGGGCTCTACGTGTCCAGAGGGTATATGGGTTCTAGGTGTCCAGAGGGTATAGGGGTTCTAGGTGTCTAGAGGGTATAGGGGTTCTAGGTGTCTACGGGTAACCATCAGAAGCTCCAGACTCAGTGGATCTTGTAAAAGTAGCAATGCAGATCCGCTTGACCACATCAGATAGCCACTGATGTACCAGGCAGTCCAGATGGATGCAGATCCTCAGTCCAGAAAAGATACCGACCATGCTCTGAAGCCCACATAGTTCCAGGGCACTTCAAGCCTGCACTGGTCCTGGTTCTCTTCCTCTTTCCATCTCTCAGGCCTCCTCCATGTTGGAGGTCTCAGGGAAACCTTTTCTCTTACATTAGCCAATGCCCACCCTCAGGCCTCGGCCTAGCCTGGGGGGGCAGGCTGAACAGCTCCCACCCATATATGTACACTCTCCCAGCAGGCACCACTTGCTGAGAGAAGCCCAGTGGTTGGCTGCTGCACTGTACACATATGATAGTATCCACCATTGGCTGTCCCACAATATGACAGAGTCTCACTCCGCCCAGGGAGGGGTACAGGCAATGTTAGACACCTGGGATTAACCATGTAATTGCCACTACAAATCCAGCCAGGCCGTCTACAACCCTGGTTATCATTAAATGCCTAGTAGTCACATCACAAAAGGTGATGGGCGCTACACTAGACATTGGCAACACCTGGCCCAAGGACTAGAGATTCCATCCCGTAACAGTCTGGAAAACCTGAAAGAAACGGAGAAGCCAGTTTCTTCTCTGCAAAAGTATTCACCTCCTGGAACCTCTCAGCCCTTAGACTGTGTTGACTATGTTGCCAAATTACGCCGTGGCATTGCCACACACCTCCACACTGACTTGAAATATGTAATAATATACAAATAAATGATCCGTGCTCCAAACTAAATCCCAAACCAAAGCTACTGAGAAACAATCCATACATGTCATACAATACACTGCGCTCCTATATAATATACTGAGAGCTGAAATAGATATCTACCAACCAAGATGAATGTGTGTGACTCAACAAAGTGCAGATAAGTGCAAGAGAATCCATTTAAACAAACAAATCCTTAACAATGAATATTAAATGCAAACATGAATGTCTTATTTTTCAGAGTCATCCAGAGACCTCTCTCGGGAAGGGGACGCATGTTGCGCTCAAGTAAATCGCAAGCAGAAAAGTAGGTTCCACAAGAACATGGCCTTGTCTCTGTCCCATGAAATGACTCAGTGCTGAGATGGTTTCATATTGTCCATTATTCAGAAATTCAGGCCCATGATGGGTCACCTAGTCAAGTTCTATTTATACTATAGACATACAAGGTACCCCATCACTCCAAAGCCATGAGCAGGCAAGCCCTCCCAAGGTAAAACCGGCCTTCATTCCCTTCACTACTAGGATGGTGCTCCAAGAGATGGGCCTAGAAATGGGCCTCCTCATGAAGCACCAAGATGGGCTCTTTTACGCAGTAGCTGCCCCAAGAGGGGGTATAAGAATCAGAATGGGCATCTAGGAATGAGAAAATGAGAGAACCAGGATTCAGGCTGAATCACTTTGATACCGGGAAGCACCGATCCCCTTCCCCAATTCACTGAGAGAGGGTAAAAGGTTCCAAAGGAGATACCTCTCACCATGGTTGGGTACACGTGGTACAGCTCTTGTCTCTCCCCACCTCCCCCCCCCCCCCCCGGGATCACATTCATCTCTCAATCAGGTTTTTATGAATTAGAACTTTCTGGTATAGACGGTTACATTTGTTTACTGAACTTCTTTATATGTTTTGTATCTCTGTGAAGGTTCTCAGGTGTCCAGGTCATGGTGTAGCGTGTAGTAGGCGGTGACATTCAACTGGACACGTTCTGTATTGTTTAAGATGTTTCATAACTTATCCAAGCCACTTCCTCGGTTCTATGGAGTGTCAGGAACATACCCGAGGATTTATATCCACACACATAGCTCAGACACTTTAATCCAACAAATACAGAAGGGCAGATGTTGATTGTCTAAGTATGGGAAGTCCAAGGATGGGATTATGTATCTAGAACAGGATGGTTCCATACCTTCCATACCTCCCATCCTGTACTAAGACAACCCACAAATCTGCAATCTATAATCTCCAAAGAAAACATTGTATCTCTCATTGTTATGGTGAATTCGGCTGCATAGATCGGTGGATGTGACGCCACAACCCAACCTTCTGTAGATGTTCTGAGTGTCCATCTTGGCTGAGTTCTTGGGCTTAGCTTGTGCTGGGGGGAGGAGAGGCTCAGAAGGTTCCCCATGGTTCCAGCAGATCTCAGAGGAACCAACAAGGACTGCACAAGGCTTCCTAACTAGGCTGGTCATCGTTCCCCAGGGACTATCACCATGCTTGTCTACAGGGTGACCACAGACCTGAGACTGTCTCCTTATCTGGATGAACCAGACTGGGTGAGCGTCATGTGATCTGAATTATGAATTGAGTTCGGTATTTTCTGTTATTTTAGAACCTGCCGCCAACTCCACCGCTGATGAACAAGTATGTTATGCCAACCTTAAAATCAGGCA